CTCAATGATCTGCCTACCTTGGCTTCCCAAAATGCTGGGATTACAGGTATTATCCACTGCATCCAGCCTACTACATGTTTCTTAAAACTCATTGAATTCTGCACTTGAAATTGGTGAATTTTATCATTTGTAATTTACAGTGCAATCAATAATATGATTTATATCTCAACAGAGAGAATGAGAGAACAGGAACACCCTTCTCTCTCTCTTGCCATAAATTGTTTTCCTATTATTTGAAATGTAGCTATGGAGCCAAAACAGGTTCTGACTTGCTTTTTTTAAATGTAGATTTTATTGAAGTATAACATACATCCAGAAAAGTGCACAATCATTAGTATATGGCTCAATAAATTTACACAAAGTGAACATATTAGTTAACTATCAACTAGATAAAAAAAAAAAAACTCTAAGATCCCTAGTGTCCTTCCTTGTGTCCCTTCCAGTCATTGGTTCATCTCCCCAAGTGTAATTGTAACAGGTTCATTGCCCAATGCACACAGCAAGTCAATCTACACCGAGAGACACTGGGTTGCAGCAGAGAAAGAGGTTTAACCATAGGGTCACCAAATGAGGAGATGGGAGGAAACCTCAACTTCCTCTCCTCGAGTACTTATGATTTTTAACGGTTTGGGAGTGGGCCAAAGTTTGGAGACTGCTGATTGATTGAGGAGTGCAGGGTCAAGCCATGGGGCAGGGAGATGAAGAAGCTGTAGTCTCATGCTGACTCCATTCCTATGTAGGGGTCTTCAAACAGGTTGCTGGAATTCAGGGTCTGAAAAGCATCTTAAGTGATCCTCAAACAAAAGCCATATGATTCTAATGTCAGAGATCTTATCTATAGGAACAATAAGGATGACATGGGGAAATGATTCTTAAACAGTCTTATGATGCTAATGTCAGAATTCCTATTGATAGGAACAATAAAGATGCAAATGGTCAGTATCTAGCAGTACGTGAGCTTTAGCAAGAAGAAAGTGGGCCAAAGCGTAGCCTGACTAATGCTTAATTATAAGTATATTTCTGGCCAGTGCCTGGCAGGTAATTGTTGTCAACCCTGTGGGGATCATTTCACAAGGGTAACCGCTATCGTGACTTCAAACACCATAATTTGTTTTACCTGTTCTTGAACTTCATATGAATGAAATCATGTAGCATCTTCTCTTTTTTGTTTGGCTTCTTTTTTCATTATGATCTATGTGAAATTCATCCATGATGTTGTGCAACTTTGTTCATTCTCTTTTTTTTTAGACAGAGGCTTACTCTGTCACCCAGGCTGGAGTGCAATGGCACCATCTTGGGTCACTGCAATCTCTGCCTCCCGGGTTCAACCGATTCTCCTGCCTCAGCCTCGCGAATAGCTGGGATTAGAGGTGCCTGCCACCACACCCGGCTAAATTTTTGTATTTTTAGTAAAGACGGGGTTTCACTATGTTGACCAGGTTGGTCTTGAACTCCTGACCTCGTGATCCACCCACCTCAGCCTCCCAAAGTGCTGGGATTACAGGTGTGAGCCACAGCACCCAGCCTCTTTTTCTAATTTTATTTTATTTTATTTTATTTGCAGACGAGTCTCACTTTGTCACCCAGGCTAGAGTGCAGTGGCACAATCTCGGCTCACTGCAGCCTCCTCCTCCTCCCAGGTTCAAGCGATTCTCCTGCCTCAGCCTCCCAAGTAGCTGGGATTAGAGGTGCCCGCCACCACGCCTGGCTAATTTTTATAGTTTTAGTAGAGACGGGGTTTCACCATGTTGGCCAGGCTGGTCTTGAACTCCTGACCTCAGGTGATCTGCCTGCCTTGGTCTCCCAAAGGGCTGGGATTACAGGCATGAGCCACTGCACCTGGCCTCTTTTTTCATTTTAAATATCCATTAAATTTACTCATTGTTGTGTGGTATTCTAGTTCTGTAAATAAACAATAATGTTTTAATCCATTCTTATGTTGATGGAAATGTGGATTGTTTCCAGTCTTTGGTTATTATGAAAAGTATTGCTATGAACAATACTTTTTGTGTTGTTGTGCCTGTTTTTTTGTGCTGGGATTACAGGCGTGAGCTACAGCACCCAGTCTACAGCTTCTTTATTATTTCTTTCTTTTTTCAGAAAAACGTATTGGAGATGTAGGAGATGATGAAATCACATCTAGGATTAACGTCCTAGAAGGAGCCTTGGAGAACTGTGAATACCCTAATAATACATTCTTTTGCAGGGCACATCCTGTGTCTTTAGCTTTGGATTCTGTTTCTACCACTAATGAGAACAAAATAGAGAAGGAGGAGCCAGGCATACAGCCGAGTTCGATCTCACACACCAAGTAGAGGAAACCAAGGCCTGGAGAGATAAGGCCACCCAGCCTTATCAGATCCTTTTACCAGGGTATCCAAAAACTGCAGCAGAGACTAAAAACACACTTTACTGGAACCCAGACAGGTTTTCTCTAAGTCAAGCTAACGCAGCCTCCATCAATAGAGCCAGTGAGAAAACGTTGACTATCAAAATTCTGCTCTTCCTTCAGGGTCCATCTCAGCTGAGGTCTCCTTCATGAAACCTTTCTGATCTTTCCAGCCAGAGCCAATCTTCTCCTTCATGAAACCTTTCTGATCTTTCCAGCCAGAGTCAGTCTTTTCCTATTACTTCTGTCCTGGATTGGGTTGTAGCATTTACCTCATTCTCTCTTGGACTATTTGTACACATGTCTTGTCTCCTGAGATATGTGGTAAACTCCTGGGAAGACAGGCTTGGCTTGTTTCTTTTTGTTGGGGATGGAGAGGAAGGCTTGTATAAATGAGTTGCTCAGTAAAAGACCAAATTGAATTGTGTTGCTGCTAAGGAGAAAGGGCCTGAGGAACTCTGTGTTTCCTGAAGCAACTGACAGGCATATTCATACTGAATTTACAAATGTCTTTGTTTCACAGTAGTACACATTCGACAATGGGATCACGGGCCCCAGAGTCTTTGTGGATAAAGAGACCCTGGAATGCACTTTCTTGGTAGGATGCCCAAGGATGTGACGGCTGCTCTCCCTTCCACACCCAGAGTTGGTGGCTAACCCCTTTCCTGCTTCTGTGTCACTTCGTGGTTCCAGTGTAGACTCAAGAACTACTCTGGGGCAGTCTTGGAACTCTTAAGTTAAGCTAGGGTGGAGGAAGGAAGAGGAACTGAAGGAGGAAGAATGCCATGGCATGGGAAGGCTAAGGTCTCCTGTCTCCTTCTTCCTTCCTGCTTCTTGCCCGGGGGGCCCAGGCCCCTAGCTGGCAGCCACAGCAGCATGACAGTACCAGCAAGGGCGTGTGCACGCATCTTTCCTCAGCTTCCCTGCAGTCGATCTGTCCTGTCCTGCCCTCTCCTCCACCACTCACCCTCCCTGCACGCGAGGTGACTGCAGAGTGGCAAGGCACAGGGTGTGGGCAAAACGTGTCCTGTCACCACTTGGGCAGGGCTCAGCCTTGGAAAACACAGAGGTACTTGAAGTCCCCAGGGCTTTCATACACCAAGATCCAGGAGTTGTACATTATATGCCCTTTAAGGGAGCAGTCCCGACCTCAGGAAGAATTTCTTTGGACTTGGAAATATGAATAAAATAAAACCTTCTCTGGCCGGGCACCGTGGCTCATGCCTGTAATCCCAGCACTTTGGGAGGCCCAGGTGGGCAGATCACGAGGTCAGGAGTTTGAGACCATCTTGGCTAACACGGTGAAACCCCATCTGTACTAAAAATACAAAAAATTAGCTGAGCATGGTGGCAGGTGCCTGTAATCCCAGCTACTCGGGAGGGTGAGGCAGGAGAATCGCTTAAACCTGGGAGGCGGAGGTTGCAGTGAGCCGAGATTGCGCCACTGCACTACAGCCTGGGTGACAGAGTGAGACTCCATCTCAAAAAAAAAAAAAAAAAAAAAAAAAAAAAAATCTTTTCAGCAACCTGTTCAGTGGTCCCCATGAAGGACTGAGAAGGCCTGGGGTGAACAGGAATTAAAAGAAATTAAAGACTGTGTAAGCAAAAAACTCAGTTGTATGTAAGAAAACCCATTTCCCTCTGAGGAAGAGAAAGGGCTGCAGTCCTTTAAAATTAACTGCCTGTTTTTCTCTCTGTGGCTAGTGAGCCTTAGCTCTCCCTTCCCCAGGCATTGTGAAGACCCTGTTTCTCTAGCTGTGCAGCTGCAAGGTCACTGGACAGATAATCTCAAGTCATAAAACATGTTGTTCCTTGGAAAGTAAAAAATAATATAATGCATGTCTGAATTGAATAACTGTCTTATTTCTCACTTCTGTAATACACTTCTCCCTGCACAGATCTCTCCTCGCCCCATGAAATGCTTAAAAGGTAGCTTGACTCTTTGTTTGGGGCTCAGTCCTTTGGATGTTAATCTGACTGGGTCGATGCACCTAAGTAATTAAATAATTCCTCCTCAACCCCTTGGTCTCTCTGATTCCTTAATTATCCCACAGCAAGGGAAGTGCTATGGAAGGGCTATGTCCATCCTGATTCCTGATCCTTAGAGGGAGAGGAGGTTAACAGGGAAGGAGAAAGGGGAAAAGGCATACAGACTCCTAAATATATATAATTTTTAGCTCATTAGGACCATATTGTCAAGTTTTTTGTGTATATATATTTTTAATAGAGATGGGGTCTCACTATGTTGCTCAGGCTGGTCTCAAACTCCCGAGCTAAAGCAGTCCTCCTGTCTCAGCCTCCCAGAGTGCTGGGATTACAGGCATGAGCCACTGTGTGCCTGGCCCATATTGTCAAATTAATGGAAAGGAAATACAGAACCAGAAAAACCAAATAACTGGTTAGAAGCAAAACTTGAACTAGAACCCAAATCATAGAATCTAGGAACTGCAAGGGAAACGGGGATGAGGCATAGCAGATTATTGATCACTTACGCATGTCAGACACCGTGCAGGGTTTGTGTATGTGCTTCCTCATTTCCTCTGTGTAATTATCTTATTAAATCAATATCACATCATTTTACAGGTTTGGTCTGTTTTTTTTTCTTTTTAAGGAAGTGCGAACCATTTTGCCTGGCACAGTACTTGACCTTGGGGGCACAATGAAGATCAGGTTCAAGATCAAGGTGGTCCCTGCCCTGTGGTGCTTTTATGGAGGAGAGTCAGGTAAGCAGGCAGTTATCATGCCTTCTGTGGTTATAATAGAAGCTCAGAATGCTTTGGGAGAACTGCAGTGGGTCCTGCCTCAGGCTGGGAAAAGTCAGGGAGGGCTTCCTGAAGAAGCTTTCAGGCCTTGGAGTGAGCAGAGAATGGGATGTGAGGATAGAGGTGGGTGGGTAGGGAAGATGAGAAATGAGACCAGAGGGGTAGGCAGGTTCAAGACTCCAGAGCACCTGGTCAGACGTTTGCATTTCACCTAAGACGGACATTCAAGGTGGAGGGCATTGGAAGGTTTTAAGTGATGGGATGACAGGATGAGATGTCCTTATTCTTTTTTGTTTTTATTTTTCTTTATGATTATTATCATTATTATTTTTTGAGACAAGAGTTTCACTCTTGTCACCCAGGCTGGAGTGCAACAGCACGATCTTGGCTCATTGCAACCTCTGCCTCCTGGGTTCAAGCAATTCTCCTGCCTCAGCCTCCCGAGTAGCTGGGATTACAATGGCCTGCCACCATGCCTGGATAATTTTTATATTTTTAGTAGAGACGGGGTTTCACCATGTTGGCCAGACTCGAACTCCTGACCTCAGGTGATCCACCCACCTTGGCCTCCCAAAGTGCTGAGGTTACAGGCGTGAGCCACCGCACCTGGCCTTTTTTATTTTTATTTTTATTTTTTAAAGACAGGGTCTCTCTGCTGCAGTCTGGAGTGCAGGGTGTGGTCATGGCTCACTACAGCCTCAACCTCCTGGGCTCCATTGATCCTCTGTCCTCAGCCTCCTGAGTAGGTAGGACTGCAGGCATGCATCACCATGCCTGGCTAATTTTTTATTTTTTATTTTCATAGAGATGGGTCTCCATATGTTGCCCTGTCTGGTCTCAAACTCCTGGCCTCAAGTGATCTTAGGCCTCAGTCTCCCAAAATGCTCAGATTACAGGTGTGAACCACCACACCCAGCCAGATGTCCCAATTCTTTTTTTCACATTTGAATGTGCATGCCGTTTATTTTAAAGTCAACTTTAATGAGGATTCACTTATGAATAATAAAATGTATTATATTACATTTTAAGCATATACCTCAATTTTTTTTATTATACTTTAAGTTCTAGGGTACACGTGGGCAAAGTGAAGGTTTGTTACATATGTATACATGTGCCATGTTGGTGTGCTGCACCCATTAACTCGTCATTTACTTTAGGTATATCTCCTAATGCTATCCCTCCTCCCTCCCCCCACCCCATGACAGGCCCCAGTGTGTGGTGTTCCCCACCCTGTGTCCAAGTGTTCTCATCGTTCAGTTCCCACCTATGAGTGAGAACATGTGGTGTTTGGTTTTCTGTCCTTGTGATAGTTTGCTCAGAATGATGGTTTCCAGCTTCATCCATGTCCCTACAAAGGACATGAACTCATCCTTTTTTATGGCTGCATAGTATTCCATGGTATATATGTGCCATATTTTCTTAATCTATTCTATCATTGATGGACATTTGAGTTGGTTCCAAGTCTTTGCTATCATGAATAGTGCCACAATAAGCATACATGTGCATGTGTCTTTGTAGCAGCATGATTTATAATCCTTTGGGTATATACCAACTAATGGGATGGCTGGGTCAAATGGTATTTCTATTTCTAGATCCTTGAGGAATCACCACACTGTCTTCCACAATGGCTGAACTATTTTACAGTCCACCAACAGTGTAAAAGTGTTCCTACTTCTCCACATCCTCTCCAGCACCCGTCGTTTCCTGACTTTTTAATGATCGCCATTCTAACTGGTGTGAAATGGTATCTCATTGTGGTTTTGATTTGCATTTCTCTAATGGCTAGTTATGATGAGCATTTTTTCATGTGTCTGTTGGCTGCATAAATGTCTTCTTTTGAAAAGTGTCTGTTCATATCCTTTGCCCACTTTTTGATGGGGTTGTTTGATTTTTTCTTGTAAATTTGTTTAAGTTCTTCGTAGCTTCTGGATATTAGCCCTTTGTCAGATGGGTAGATTGCAAAAAATTTCTGATGTCCCAATTCTAAGGGAAACTTTGGTTTTGGTGTGGAGGGCAGGCTGGAGTGGGCAGGACTAGAGGAGGGAGATGAGCTGGGAACGGCAGTGATTCACAGCAGTGAGAATAGCAGCTAAGCCAGGACAATGTCAAGAGAAACAGAGAGAAATGGATGCACTGAAGACATAGATTTAGGAGTTAGAAACCATCAGGACGTGGTGACTGATGGTTCTGAGGGGTGGGGAGTTAGAGGGATCCAGGATGACGCCCACGTTTTGTCTTGGGCTGTGTCATCCTCACGGTGCCACCATCTACTCAGTTGTCCAGATGAGATAACTGAAGCTCACAGAAGTAAATTGTCGCAGGTCAATCAACTTGTAAATGGTAGAGCTGGGGCTCAACACCAGCCCTGATTGATATCTTCCTAATTCCACCAATTCCAGTATTTTTCTGTTTATAAGTGTCTGAACAACAGCCATGAACAGCTTTGGCCAACGTGCACGACTGTGCTTTCTGGAGCCATGGGCTTCTGCAGTGGTTAATGGAGATTTATTCTGAGCTTTAGTAGTTCATTTGAAAGCAATGTTAAGAATCTCCCCTACCTAATCCCCTAAAGCTCTGCACTATCCCAAAAGGCAACGTGGGTTAATGAAGGAAGCACTCGCCTCCTAACCCAGGGTTAGGAGACCTGGGTTCAAGTCCTGGTCCTGCCAGGTCACATACCCTCTCTGGGCCCCAGTTTCCCAATCCTTGAGTGAAGAGGTTGGGTCAGATGACCTCTAAAAGCCATTTCAGCATCAGTTTCTAAAATCTACGTGTCTGGGGAGCAGGGAACGTGCTTAAATACGTTACAGGCTAGAGGCATTCTGAAGGCCATTTGGTTTGATTTCTAAGTGATATGTTAGCCTCCTCTAAAGTGGTCCCAGCTGTGGCCTGTGGGACACGGGCCCCACGACACATTGATCAAATCAGAATTCTTGGAGCAGGGCTGCAGAGAAGTCTCTTGGAATGCGCACCAGTGATCCCAGTGTGTAGTGAGGTTTGAGAACCACTGTCTTGGAGGATGCTGGGAGATCGCCAAGATGTGTGTTACCACAGGAAGCCAGTGAGAATGACTGGGGGCCTCTGTGGAGGAGAAATCAGCCCAGGGAAGAGCCAGATATTCCAGAGCAGGGAGGGAAGCGCACAGTCAGCTGAGAACTAATTCTGACTCAGTCTCTACAATGTGTTCCTGGTGCCACAGGAAAAAAGTAGGTGGGGAAAGAAGCAAGAGTTCTCGCCTTTTCCGTCTGCGAGCCTGTCTCCTTCAGTGCCTTGAAAGCACCTGCCATCTCTTGGCTCCTCCCAGCACTTTGGGAGGCCGAGGTGGGAGGACCTTTTGACCCACAAGTTCAAGACTGGCTTGGGCAACACAGCGAGACCCCATCTCCACAAAAATAATAAAAAATTAGCCAGGCACAGCGGTGAGCACCTATAGTCCCAGCTACTCGGGAAGCTGAGGTAGGGGGATCGCTTGAGCCCAGGAATTGGGGGTTATGGTGAACTACGATCAGGGCATTGCATTACAGCCTGGGCAGCAGAACAAGACCCTTGTCTCTAAAAACAAACAAACAAACAAGAGATGGGGGAAGACTCTGCGAAAGCCATACTTCATGAGATAGAGCCCTCTCCTCTTGTTTTGTTTTGTTTTTTTTTTTTTGAGAGAGGGGCTCACTCTGTCACCCAGGCTGGTGTGCAGTGATGCAATCTCGGCTCACTGCAGCCTCCACATCTCAGGTTCAAGCAATCCTCCTGCCTCAGCCTCCTGGTTAGCTGGGAGTACAGGCACATGCCACCATGCCCAGCTAAATTTTTTTGTATTTTTAGTAGAGATGAAGTTTTGCCATGTTGCAAGGGCTAGTCTCGAACTCCTGGGCTGAAACAATCTGCCTGCCTCAGCCTCCCAAAGTGCTAGGATTACAGGCATTAGCCACCACGCCCAGCCTTAGAGCCTTCTGCTCTCAACAATACCTTCAAAGTCATCAGTATCTGTCAACAAGCACTTACTGCATGCCCACCCTGTGCCAGAAACCACACCCCACCACAGGATGCCAACAGGAAAAACGCAGACTTTGCCCTTTAGCCTCCAGACCAGAGGAGGCGGCAGATGAGCAAACATGCAATCACAGTGTCATGTGAGAGGCTCTGGGAACCCAGACAGTCCTGAAAGCTGAGGCTGGGCACTCCAGGAAGACTTCCTGGGGGAGATAGCATTGAGTTGTATAGGACAGGTTTGAATTATCCAGGTAGAAAGGGGTGTGTGGATATGAAAGGAGGGAGGTGGTGATGTCATTATACTGTTTTATATGCCCCAACACCCTTATCCATTCATTATTTCATTTGGTGTTAATATGATGCTGGCTAGAAAGTTCATAGATTATTTTCATTCAAGGGACTAGTGTCAAGGGGCTAGGATGGAAAACTTCCTCATCATTACAACAAGAGAATCAGAGGCCCTCATTTGACAAGCACGGTGGTTGCTGAAGGAATCTTCTCTATCGCTGATATCTCTATCTGTGATCTCTCTCAGTCTCCCTATAAACTTGGGAAATAGATGGAACTGTCTCCATTTTATAAAAGAGGAAGCCAGGGTTTAGAGAGATTGACTTCGTCGACATTCGTGCGCTTGATGACTAAGCAAGGACTCAGAATTTGAAAATACTTTCTGGATTAAAGTGAGAAATGGATGATAAATAGTCCTCCCAAAGTAGGGCTTTCTTTTCTCACACCTGCCTGCTATATACAGACTTAAGGGAGGGGTTATTATTATTACGTTCCTTATTCACTCCCTGCTTAATCCCAGCTGTTTCACTATCACAACCCAGGAATATTAATGACAATTAGCTGGTTTTAGTTTGGCAATGGATAATTACAATCATGCCATTTTAGCAAGCTTCTCTTGTGACCACTTGACTATTTGTTTTTCTTTTTTTGAGACAGGGTCTTGCTCTGTTGTCCAGCCTGGA